TAAAAGCCCATCTCTTAGATGGTTATTTCAAGTTTATTTTAAAATCGAAATATTTTTACGTTCTTTTTTAGTTGTTTCTTTTTATAATTGTTTTATATGAAGTGTGAAAAAATAATCAAGTATTTTTAAGGACATAATTAAAAGTCCGTATTATTTATGCATACTTCTTATATAATCAAAATAAATAAAAATCCATGTTAAAAATAATATGTAATAACCCTGAGGTTTTAAAATAAGTTTTCTCTAAGTATTACACAGTATTTATATTTAAAATATTTAATATTTTAAGCTTTTAATTTACACAATATTTTATTTGTAATTAAATTAACTGAACAGAAAATTACTTTTATTATAAATTTGATATAATCATATGAACTACATTCTAAAATTCTATAGAATTTTCTATAGAAAAAATAGTTAAAAATGAAATCCCTTCATACTTTAGATGCGATAAGCATAATAAATAAGGAAAATTTTTATCATACAAATATTATCATACAAAGAATTTTAATGGTATAAATTTATTTAAATAGCATAACCTAAGAATGAACTTCAATTAAAAATATTTTTAGTATCTAATAGCTAAAAATTTTAATATAGTATTTTCTTAATGATTAACAATGAACAAAAGATTTTTTTCTAATATTCGGTTAAGTTGAACAATATTCTACACAACAAAGCATTATTTTCGGTAAAAACCTACTCGGTTTTATCAATCCATCTAAGAAATATGAATAATACATTGTCTTGAAAATCCTCGATATCATTTCAAATGACATGTATTATTTTGTTAAATAATTGTTTGAATCAAACAGAAAAACTGTGCGGTAAAGTTACTTATAATAATTTCAACTGAAAAATGTTTTTCTAATTATTAATCTCAATACAGAAAACACATATTTTATATTATTATTTTCATACTAATAAAAATTTTATATTATATTTATGAGACAAAAAATTATTCACTTTTTATCATAAATAAGGCTCTAATAATTTTTGCCTTATTAACTTTTAGTACTCTAAATGTTCATTGACGCTAGTAATGAAGTGAAATAGAAATCTATTTTGTTGATTCAATCAATGGCTTCAAATTATCTTTTACCGAATCGCCACTCAAATTATTATATATATTAACATAAATATTATATGAATTATTATCGAAAGTTTTGACGTTTTAATTGATTAATAGAATTATAATGTAAGCATTAATTCATTTGATTATCATACATTTTCATCTACAAAATATATTTTTTGTTCATTAAACGTACTTCAATAATTATTTTGTATTAGATGTTTTTTTTAACGAACTAAAAAAGTTTAAAGAACTAAAAATTGACATTCCATTTAAGTAGTTTGTGATATTAACAAGATTATATAGATTCCCATTAGCCTAGAAGTATTTGTAATTTAATATAATTACTGCTTTTAAATATATCAACAGAAATTAAAATTGTACGAATGAAAAAGTTTTCGAATTTGTAAAAATTAATATACATAAAATGGTGTATGCTCTAATATTAAACATAGAGCCACTTTAATTTTTTAATTACAAATGATTTATTATACGAATTTTCGTGTTGTGCCGAAAACCATATCTTTGCTGATAAATATTTAGAAAGGTTTAAAAAAGATACAACTACGCGTAAGCATCAACTTAGTTACCTTTAAAAAATAATTCATCTATTAAATTAAATAATTGCAAATTTGGATTAATAAATTATGCAATTCTATCATTTATAGGAATTCGCATAAATTAATTTGACTAAATTTTGATACACTACATACATTATTTACATCTAGTTCAATATTCTATAATTTATCAAAAATTTTATGAAAAGATATTATCTATACCGATCGTTTCATATACTTAATAAATTAATTAACGTAATATAATAGCAAATTAGTTCGAAAAACTTTTTTTCTAAAAAAAATATGATAAAATTTTTAAATTACCTTTTCTTGGAAGCTGCTCACTAATAGATTCGAAAGTGAAATAAAACGAATCCCTTCAGCTGTAATTATTTAGTATTAGAAAAAAATACTCTAAAGTGATGATTATTTTTTTCTGATAGAATTTCAAATTATAATTTACCACATGGAAAATACAAATAGGGTTTGTACACTCTTCGATCGTAATCAAATAATCATTTGAATTTCACTACTCTGAGCAACTGATTATATTTTTCATATCTCAGATTACGATTATTATATTTTTAGCCATTCTTTTATTGCTCATTTTGTCAATTCTAATCACATTCCGATAGTAGAATAGTTACCATATTTTTCTTTAAAATATATTTATAACTATGATAAGAAAACATTAATTTTGAATGATATCTTGAATATACATACAGATTTATTACTTTTACAATGTAATTTTTTTATGTATCTGTACATTAAGATTTATAAGTTTTTAGATACTGTTACTAATGATTATGTATAAATAATTCTAAAATTCGTTTTACAAGCATCAATTGTTTTGTAAAATATGTTTACCGCATTTTTTAAAATAATGAATATATCATTCATACAATTTCTAATAGTATAAATTAGATATAATAATATATAATTCAATAATAAATCATTAAAAATATAATATTGGAAATTCATACAATAATAGACTATAATTTGAACTTTTATAAATTTCTCAATAATTCCTTTACATATTCAATATTACGATAGCTTTTACGGCAGATTATTTATAAGGAAATTATCTTTGATAATAATTTCTTTATTTTTTAACAGAAACAAACATTTTCATTTTAATGAAAAATTATTAAATAAAAATTATCATGAGAATTAAATGCATTACAGAAGATGCATTATTTACTATGAAAGTAATATTTATTAAAACATGTTATTTAATAAAATTATAACACATTTCTGTAATCAAGAGATTTCAATTTTATTTTAAATTTTATTAAAATTGAGAGTTGAATGAAAAAAATTGAAATTTATAATAAATTGATATCTGGATCAAATTTTTTAAATATTCGTTTTCATTGATAAACAATTGCACAACTTTTAAATGTAAATAAATAATGAATATGAGACTATAGAAATGTATCATTAGTAAAAAAACTTTTATTATTACAAAATTTAATTTTACTATGTATTTTATATTTATGTAATACACATACATACATACACACACACACACACACACACACACATAATATAAATATAAAAAATGTATGTCAATAGAATTAACAACTACATCAATAAAATTAAAAAAATTAATTTTCGTTTTAAATTATTACAGAAAAATATTAAACGTTGTTTATATAAATCTTTATTTATTGCGTTCCCAAAAAATTCATTATAATTTTTAATAAATAATATTTTTGTTAAATTCTATCGGATTACACTTAAATTGGTTTTTTATTCTTAATCGATTTAGTTGTCTATTTTTGTCAAACTTAATATTTTATTGTCGATATTTATATGACACTTTTCTTAATTTCTTTTCTCTATTCAATAAACAATATAATATGATTCTCATTATATCTATATTATTACTATAAAACACATCAAACTTTCGGATTTAAAAAAAATAATGAAATTCCATATCTAATAGTCATATATATTTAAGTTTACATTGTTTATATTATCAGTATAGATTTGAATAAATTTACAAAATAATTATATAAACAGCAAGTATTAATATCTGACAACTTTTTTATTTCATACTGAACTTAGCGAACATTATTTATAAAATAATACTAATAAATAACTACATTGTCATTTGTTACATAGTAATTTAAGTTTACACAAAATTAATTTTCAATCATTATTATGAAGTCTTGATGGATTAGAAATAAACTCATAAATGTTTTTTTAATAATGTAAATCAAGATATAATTTTTCATAATACCTCGTGAATTAATAAACATTGATACATATGTAATTAATTCAATCCCTCTGATATTTTAATTTAAAATTTATGTAGCGTATTTGTTTCTTGTGCTTTCTCTCTCTCTCTCTCTCTCTCTCTCTCTCTCTCTCTCTCTCTCTCTCTCTGTGTGTCTGTGTGTGTCATTGTTTTATTTTTTTTAGTTTACTCTTATGAAACAGGAAATACAATAAATTTAAGCCAATATTCGTTTTCAAAACTACATAACGTGTTTGCAAACTCATTCTTTGTCAAAAGGGAATAAATTATAGCTCATCTTTTAATAAAGTAGAATCGAAAAATTTTTTAAATTGTATTTATTGGTTAGTAAAACAAGTTAGTAAAACATCCAATTTTTTGTTCAATTGTCGAACCAGAACAATATAGTTTTGAGCTCAATTTTATTGAATTATCTTCGATTGAAAGCGACATTTCTACACTGAATATCAGCAATTAATAGTATTTGCATTTGGATAATCGTTCATTGAACGTATTAATAATAATGTAACTCCTTTGTTTTACAGTGAAGATGTGGCCTCGCTGTTGGAGCTGAAAGCGTCGCGTAGGCTTCGCATGACCCAGGGCCCACATCCGAAACCTCTTACCAACAAGTAAGGATCTTATCGCAACATCCTCCTTCTCTCTCGTCATCGCATCCATTTATCCCGACCGAAATACACATTTAGCCATTGACATTTGCAAATTTTCCAAAAGAACCAAATACCAAAATACCACAAAACGAATAAATAATAACGATAACGAGAGAGAAAAAGTAAGCGTTAAGCTAACGAGAGTCGCACTCGAACCGATAAAGTGAGAGAGAAAGAAGGACGACGGGCTTCAAACCCAATGTGTGCAAATAGCAAAAAAAGAAAAATAAATAAATGCACCAAGTAAAACAGCAAAATAGTGTCGCATCGAAATATACATGTATATACATATATAGGTATTTTGTACGCAGTCAAAGAGAAAAGGAAGCAAATCTAATTCTCCTAAGCTCGGGGCATATAGCGCTTCTCTCTCGTCCTACGTAGGCGAAAAAAAAGGTTAGGAGAAAAATGGCGCCGATGTCATCATTATTACTGCTACTACTCCTTGGGTGGATCATCGACGGCCTCGTTCCAGCCGATGCGAATCATGACGCTGAAACCCCCCAGAAGCCTCCTCCATGCCCGAGGTAAGTCCTGATATCAGAACTAACAGTATGCGGTATTGTCGTCATTTTTTGTTGCTCACAGCTACATATCCGAAGCATTAGCTTCATAAGAGCGACTCAACGCTGTAATTGAATTAATAATTACTCTACTTCGATTCCTTTGTGTAAATGCGTGACTGTCCGATGTATGAGAATTATTAGTTCTTAGTGTGAATTTGACTGTACGAAACTCTATTACATAGTTCTCCTGGGTGTCGGCATCGCCTAATTTCCTTACTTAAAATGAAATGTCACCATTTCACTCACTTCGACGAAGCCTTCGGATGGAACATGAATGTTTAAAAATCTCGTGTGTTATTCATTACGAAGTCTAAATTACAAGTATATTCCTATAATTATAATGGACCAAAGGGTACGAAATGTAGCATAAGTAATTGAATTCAATTTGAAATGATACAACACATTATCAAAGCAGGCTTTAAAATAACTTCGATTCTTCAATCTAGTAATCTAATCACTGCTATTGTTCAAAATTGCAATAAAATGAGTGTACATAACGAGTTAATGATAAAGCAATTGTATTTTGTACCATTAGGGATATATTTCCATTAATAAACAACAAGGTTCAAAACCCTCTTGAAGAAGAAATTAAAAGTACTGCTTTTGCCGAAAGTAATTAAACATTATACTATGTAATATTCATTTACAAATTATTACAAATTATTTGAATAATTATTATTCGCACGTGTTCGTTTCGTACCACCGAACTATTCCGCCAAATAATAATTAATAATCAAAAAACACATTGCCAAACATAGCTAAATTGACCTTACATTATCATAAAAATGTGGGATGCAAGTAAAATATATTTCGGCCTATTATTTCTTCGCTTCAATTTCGTGAACCTAAAAAACGGCGGCTCCCGGCTACGTAACCGCAACTGGTGACAATATAGTAACGCGATCGAAGAAATGCTGAGCAGCAGGCAAATAGAAGAAGCAGATCTGTAGGTACCGGGATTCTTGGTAATACCTAGTATTCGAACGCGTGTGCGTGCACATTTATAATTGCAAGCGAGTGGATTCGCTTGGCGCGAAGGTTGTGATACAACTAACTCGAGAAATAATAGAAGTATTTGCGACGGTCACGACGCTACGCCAACGCGACGATCCAGCGGAAGTGCGACATTGAAAAGTGCCTTTATACACGTCGCGGTGACGCAATCCTTTTCTTTTGGCCTTCCTTATCGATCGATATCTCCTTCTTTTTTTTTTCATCTTTTTCAGCCTGGCTGTTAAGATTATCTTTCGATAGCAGCTAAGCGCACGCGTACTCGCTAGTGATTAAATGCACGATACCAGCAATCTTAAAGAAAATATCCAATCTTTATTCTGACAGATTTTGAATGCTAAATGATCCATTATTTGATTTAGTTATGTACGAAAATTTCATCCATTACTCGTCGATTTCAAGATATTTATCATTGAAGCAACTCCTACCTCCATTTCTAATTGACGTATCCAACAATCGTCCAACAAAATTGTTTCTCAAATTCATCATACATTTATACGCGATACTAAAGAATGTAATCCAATAACGAAAGGGATTTAAGAAATTAATCCTGTCGATAAGAATTTTTAACAAAAAAAAATAGTGATTAAATATAATATCATTAAAAAATTTAACGATGAATTATAAATGCAATATTACGACTAATTAATCTTATGTAAACTTTATCTGATTAATTAATTTATTATTCCTTTTTACTCGTTTGTTTTATAAATTTCTTCAACAAAACGCACGTATTCTCCCATCTTACTGTGGCCATCCTTCTTTCTCTTTCTCTTGCACGCGAACTATATCCGTCAAATATCTATGCTATTTGCATATTATGTTAGCATATTCATCTGCTTAGTAATTCAAGAAAGATGTTTATAAGTAAATAAGAAATTTCCAATATCCAATATATTCGGAATGCTTTAAGGTGCTTTTTTATTTATTTATTTTGCAAGCAGGTCGAAGTAATGCAATGTGCGTAAAGCGTTATTTAAGATTAATCAAATTTTAAACGTTCTGATTGTTATTCAGGACACTCTTCCAGACAATGAATAATAGTGTATTAATTAAATTCCTATAAAAAAAATTTCTATCCCTATCTAAAAAAAAAACCCTTTAATTATCATCGGCTATTTCTATATTTTTAAAGTACATCCTTTAATTTAAACGTAACTTCGATAAGACTTTGAATATACTCATATATAATGATTATTTTATCCAATAGCAGAAGCTAGAATAGAATAAGCATACTGATAGACGCTACTGGTGGCTTCATGTCAATAAAAAAATATCAATAAAGTGCAATAAGTATGCATATATACTTTCAGTGAAAAAAGGTAATCTATTTTTCTTTCAACGACGTACGTGAAGTGAAAAAATATAATTGATTTTCGAGTAAACACTTTAGAAAAACCGTAAAGATTAGCAAGTAAATTAACAATAACTTTATGAATATACTACCTCAAAGTTTTTGTTTTTGCCATCACTTCATATGATAATAATAATTTCCTTCATTCAATATATGGATATTTATGATTTCTCTTAACTATAATATATATAATTGTATATATTGTTTGTACAGGAATGCAGATGTGCATATATGTTGATTAGGAGATTGCAGTTGTTGAGAAATGTAATACATTTGAAAGCTTACGTATTTATTAATAATTTACAAAACAAAAAAAAATCAAAAAAACACTCTTTGCATTAATGCACTGCTCACTGATAATCGCACGGTTATATTATATTAAGAAAATAATTTAATTTGTAGTCGCCTTTTATAATTTAGTCTTAAAGTATTCTTTATTAACCATTAAGAAGTTTAATAACTAGAAATTTTCACTTTGCATGTCTTGCATTCCCTTCTTATTTATAAATTACGATCACAAATTTCATTAATTCGAATAAAATTTCGATATAGAAGTATTTTAAGCGGAAAACAAAACATTAACAGATTACAAATGAATAACTTGAAAATCAAAATCTTAAATAGTTATGAAAAATGTAATGATTAATTCCTTATACTTGAATGAGACGTGCAAGAAAACGTGTTTATCTGGCTTTTTATAATTATTTCCGAATATAATTATCAAAGAGGGAGAAATTAGTAACAGTCTAGTTCGATTTTTTAGTATCGAAAGCCAATGATAGCGATACGTGAATAATAATTCACTTAAAATGAAAATATTCGTTTTATAATGACTTTGGATAAAAATCACGACAGTCATTGCCCGCTGGATAAAAGATAAAAGAAACGTAAAAAGCGGGGCGTGGTGATGGAGAGTCGAATGAGAAAAAAAAATGAAAAGTAAAAACGAGGCCAGTATTTGTGTGCGTACAAGTGGGAAAAAGCGCGAGCCACGTGCCTTTACCTCGGTATTTGAATGTCAGTAATGTCGACGAGAATACGGGATGTCACAAATGCTTTAAGTTAGATATTGGTCGACAGAGACGCCAAAACGAAGATGCGATGATTAATAAACGCGAACGAAGGTCTGCCGGCGTTTTCGTCTGCCTAACTGAGCCACCTCTCCCTCAAACACACTCTCTCTCTCTCTCTCTCTCTCTCTCTCCCTCTCTCTCAGTTAGTGGCTGTCTATCTATTTGCTTGCCTCTTTCGCCCCTCTTTGTAAGAATTTATTAACGCAGTTGTTCAAGATTAACGTTCTAAGTGAACAATGAACAATCATCACAAATTTTAACCATGAGCCGCAGTGGAGCTTATTTTTGTTTATTTTCTCTTCTTAATTAAGTAATATTCTCTTATTTACTTGAGTCACTGCCGAACTCGGGCGCTTAAATACGCAAGCTATGAATTTAATAATGTATAAATAAGTTGTTTTCGCATGTTAAATCATGAAAAATAAGTGGAATATACGTGTGTGATGAAATGAGAGAAAAGATTAAAGATACATAAGGTCTTTCATTCAAACCTCCTTAATTATAGTTTTGGTGTATTTTTGTTTTTTTTTTTTTTTTTTTTTTTTTTTTTTTTAATTGATAAGAAACATAATAATATAATATAATATTATAGTACATATAATATGAAATGAAAAAAATTTTTAAATATATCCGAGCTCTTGATACGAAATTCTTAATTATATTAAGTTTAAAGTTAATTTAGTATGAGGAATTCTTTTCAAAAGTTGCCTTCTGAAAACATTACTTCAAATGTTTGTATACAAATACATATCATAAAAAAATAGAACTTTCGAATTCAAATACGTAAGTAATTAATATTTATGTTTATATTGTTATTTGATGTAAAGAAAATTTTTTATAATCATATTTCAAATAATTAATTTATAAGTCAACCCTAACTTTATAAATATAATTTAACATTTGAAAAAATAATTCTACAATAATGGATAAAGAATGCAAAATAATAAATAAAAGAGAAAAGTAAAGCATAATATTAAGAGACTATTAGTGGAGGCTACTTGATTTGAATATCCGATTCGTATGATTGTTGAATTACGATGTGTTTGAGCCTCGTTGTCGACAGTCTTTTTACAGCTAGTTTGTCTCTTCACCAGCATAGGTCAATTCAAGAAGAAACAGGCATTGCGTAGGAGTTTCTTACACGGTGGAAAATGACCGGCAAGGTCAAAAAGAAATTGCAGAAATAATTTTAATAAACGATACTACTCTTCTGTTAAAATTTGTTTCGAGGAATAGGAAAAGCGCTCTACATTTGAAAATTTGCCCTAAAACTTGTCGTCAGTTTTCATTGGATCGTTACTGACATTTCGAAGATTTCGAATCAAATAGTTATTATTGACTAAGTATTTGCAGTATTTGTCAAAAAATTGACTTATTAAAGAAACAACAACGTTCATTATTATCATTAATTACTTAGTTGAAAATTATAATTAAAAATAAAATTAAAAAAATTGAAATAATCAACATTCGTATAAGATATACAATATTGTGTAATATATCTTGTATTAATTCTTTTTTTAAATTTTTTATATTGTTTTATTAATTAGATCTGCATTTATTATATTGTTTTAATAAGAAAAAAGATTTGGACATTTATCTTAAAAAGCTTATTATCTTATTGAAACGAAAGTAATAATTTATAAAAATTTATAATTATTTACAATATATATATATATATATATATATATATATACTATTATCCAATAATTTACTATCTTAACATTTTTTTAATAGACCAAAAATTTCATTGTTTTCGTAATGAAATTGGTTTTTTTTCTTTTTTTTTAATATAAGTATTATATTATGAATAAATTTTTACTAATATAAAAATCTAAATAAGTAACATTGTAATACACATTATATATATAAACATTTATGATCCATTATATTCATATTTTTATGCATATGAATTATTAAAACATATGGCACTTTTAATGTTCATATTTGCTACTTTGAATCGTTAAAAATTTTACCTATTAATTAAAAATATTTAATTACAATAAATAAATAAGCATTCAATAACACAATTTTAATAAAAGTATTCAAAATTAAAGTAATTAACTAAAAGCCTATGCAAGTATATTGAAGGATATATAATGTGTTATTATAAATTTATTCGATTTTTCGTATTTTCATTCCAGTATTTTATGATGATAAGAGCTGATCACGTTTTCTGCATAAGCATTAAGTCAATCGTAATACACACATTTCTACATAAGTAAAAAATAAAAACTAAAGATAAAAATAAAAATAAATCATTCAATGAACTTATGAAATAGAAAAATAGTAAAAAAAATAGAAATATCGTCATTTGATTTGTAAACATGTATTAATAATTTTCCTTAATAATCTTTTCTCTCTCTCTCTCTCTCTCTTTCTATCAATCTAACCGCTTCTCCCTATCCATTTACCACCATCGATTATATATAAATCCGTACATCTAAATCGTTGCATTAAGTTCACCATTGTTATCGTATTTGCGACCTTGACCCTGAGTTGCGCATCGACTCAGCTGTTGCGCGACGTACGCGCGCGCACACACAGGGACGCATTGCCAGCGGTTATACGACCTTGCCAACACGATTCACCTACTGGACACTAACGACCTTTGCATATCATCGAAACCTTTCTTTCTTTTACATCTCTTATTCTTGCGAAATGTATGTGATCGGTTGCGCACTTTAATAAATTGCACGTTTTTAAGTGGGATTCGCTATGCAATACGTAGCAATATTTTCGCAAAAGGATTCAAAGAATTCAAAGCTCCTATAAAAACGATGTATGCTCTGGATATTATATGATTTTATAATAATAATTAAAGAAATAATAATAATAAATAAGGAAAGAAAGAAAAATGGTATCATACGTATTTACTTATAAATTCAATAATCATCTATATAACGATCTATCAATGCCTTTTTATAATATTTTATCTACTTTTTATATTTTACAATAGAAATTCTATCTGTTACAAACTGTTGAGAGTTGTAAGTATAAATGGATTTGAAATAAAATAATAACTAAGCAATCATCTTCATATAAACATTCAAATTCAAAGCAAATGACTTTAACAAAGATGTGTTTAAGTAAATAAAAGCATTACGGTGCAGTAACAACTTTTTCCACTTAATAGTGAATACAAAAATGTTTGATACCACTCACGATATTTGTAAACTCTCAACATAAATTTTACAAATTTTGGATGTATAATAATATTTTACATTAATTTATAACATTTCTCTCTCTCTCTCTCTCTCTCTTTATAATTTTTTATATAAGTTTTATTCGCTCTTTCACGTGGTTGAATTAATATTCTTTTAATCTTGTTAAATGTTATTGTAAGTAAATTCGTGAATAAATTAAAACAAGGAAAGTTTAAAGAAAATTAATGTTCAAAAAAAAATTAAATCGCAACGAAATAATAATTAAAGGCAATTCGTGTCATTATCAGTAAATCTAAAACAGAGAACGATATTACTTAAATGAAAGTCTTAAATTAATATGCTTCACAAGTATAATAATAATTATATCCTTAACACTGAGAGAGAAATAAAAGAAAAGAACGATGAGAAATTTAATGATAGTTAAATACGCATTCTTCTGAGAATGACGATGTAACAAAACTAGATGTTATTCATTCATGTAAGAATGCATAGCCTTAAAATTAAAATAATAAATTGTTTATATTAGAATTTAATGTTTCAATCATAAATGTATTTGGTAATATTTCTAAGACACTAATTTCCTTAAGTGTAAAATCCATTTAAACGATTCATATTCAGTCTATAAATATTTATGAACTATTAACGCGATCATTAAATTTACACCTTAAATTTCTTTAAATCTTAATTGCAATAAATAAGACATTAAAAAATTATTGGTTCCATAAACATAATTATTAACGTGTTATTTATAAATAAATGCAATTGATGATTACCCGTGAATTTATGTTTTATATGTATTATATATTTATATGTAGTATCAAGTACGATTTATTACATATGTTGTTAATAGCGCGTGTAGTAAAAATTTTTCTCATTTAAATAGTTAATTAAGTTAATATGATTTTGAGTTTGATTTAAATCTTTATAAAAATTAAAGACCCCATATTTGCACTTTTATGCTAATAGAATTACATTGAAATGAAAGAAGTGAATCTCATTCTGATATATTTTATATTTCGATGGTTTTAGCATTGAAAAGATTAGCTGTCAAAATGAAGATTGATAGTTTAGTTGCCAATAAATGATTTTATAATAATACATCTATTCTTATCTTAATTCCAATCAATGAAATATCTCATTTAGTTGAGGTTATTAATACACTGCATAATTATAAAAATATATCACATTGTTCTCATAATATTAATACTTTAAAATTAGTTTAAAGCCGCTAAATATTTAATCCGTTAATTTTTTCAAAGTTTTTTTCCCTTTTTTGTCAAAATAAGTAAAATTCTTCATTACATTCATAAAAGCTTTTCATTTTTTTCTTCTAAACTTTACGGGCCTTTACATTTAAATTTCTTGAGAAGTTATGAAATTTTGAAGGAGAAGAAATTTCAAGAATAATGTCAATAAATCAATTTTAAATACAAGGTAGAAGCTTCGTAAATAGAGTACTACAATTCTGCCTATCGTTATATACCGTGACATTGTTAGAGACTGCGCTATTACAAGTACTTTCAATTTACGGGGTAGAACATGAGTATGTGTGAATCGCATACAAATATACACACAAAAGTATGATTAAGCTCTACATTTATCGAGGGCTATAAATAGCCGTACACCAGTGCTCACAAATATTCGAGTCGCGCATTTACTCAATTAGACCTATCAGGTTCATCATCATCCCTTGAGTACTCAAACTCGGTGTATTACGCATTCCCTTAAATCGTCCTAAGAATAACATAAGATTATATCTCATCAATTTGTGCTATGATTTTAACTTTTTCTAACCAACATAAATTTCTTAGATAAAATTCCGTCCATGTCGCTGGCATCATGCATACAGAAAATATCTAGTATCATCAATTTAATATTGTATCATATTAAGCGACATCATTATAGTTATACAATTAACAATTCAATCGATAATTGACATAAATATTAGAGATTAAGTTAAAGTTAGAGCCATTAAAAGAAAGTTATAAACGAGCATATTAATGTGGAGAATGTTAGCGTAATAATTACCAATGAAATAACCAGTTAAAGATTGCTGTTACGATTACGATCAAGAATAGGAGGATAAAGAAAGAAAGAAAGATATAACGGGATGAAAAGAAGTTATAATACGAAAACGATACAATTGTATTGCTCTTGGGATATTGCAGTGAAGTGTACTGCCATGGTGAACTGCTGCATACAATCCAGATGGCCTCGATCTACCCGGACTCTAAAACTTTTGTCGACATGAAGATGCGCCAACCAACCGAAAAGACATTGATGCTTTTCCGTGACTTCATGAACAGAACGAATAACGCGCCCACGCGATTACAGATCGAGAAATTCGTCAACGAAACTTTCGAACCCGCTGGCTCTGAATTCACGGACTTCGATCCACGAGATTGGGTGCCTTATCCAAAATTCCTTAAAAATGTTCAGGATCCTGATCTGCGCAAATTTGGCCACGATCTCAATCATATATGGAAGCTGCTGGGCAGAAAAATGAAAAACGACGTGAAAGCGAATAGCGAGCTGTACTCCATCATCTACGTCGAGAATCCAGTTATTGTACCAGGTGGCAGGTTCCGTGAATTTTACTACTGGGACTCGTACTGGATAATTAAGGGGCTTCTACATTCGGAGATGTACGCGACAGTGAGGGGTATGCTCAGTAACTTTGTATCCATTGTGGATAGGTATGGTTTCATACCGAATGGCGGGAGGATATATTACACCATGAGATCGCAGCCCCCAATGCTATTGCCCATGGTCCATGAGTATTTGAAGCACACTAATGATTTTGAGTGGCTGGAGGAAAATCTCTGGTTGCTAGAAAAGGAGTTCGAATTTTGGATGACCAAACGTACGGTGGAAGTTGAGAAGGACGGTGTGACGTATACGCTAGCGAGGTTCTACGAAGAATCGTCTGGGCCGCGACCTGAATCTTACAGGTGAGTGAGTGTCGGCTACCTGGTTATCTACCTTTTATAACTAGATCGTATGAATATTCAATCGATCATATTAATAATCGTATCCATTGATATCGAAAATGATAAACCTAAAGCATACATATGTGCATCTGTCAATGCTTTACTAATGTATTATGAAAATCAATGTATACCTTTTATATTTATTCTCGTAGATTTACTTTGCTTACGTATAAGAAAGAAAAGAAAAAACGGAGAAAAATTTTTTTTATTATCACTATGTAAGTGAACGGTCTACGTAAATTTAATTGAAAAATGTAAAAAAAATATAACGATAGTTAGATAATTCAATGTCAACTATTCAATCGTAATGCCCTATTTTAATGCGCTTTTTAAACGATCGAGTATATATTGTTGTGCTAAAAATGTATTTTAAAGGTACAGAAAGGTTACGGTAATATTTCTTTAAATAGTACATGAAATATTAATTAACAAAATAAAAGTTGATTGCTATTTTATTTCGTTTTATATTTAATGGTAAAGTTACTTTTTGTTCTCGTTATATTTAAAGGCTCAAGGTCATATGATAATACGATTAATGAACTAATTAACTGAAATCGAACGTTATAATGAACACGATCCTTTTCGTAACCGTCGTATGAGGAAAATAATAATTACAAAATAGTCATTCAACTTTTATTCTCCAATTTTACAGTAAAAATTTAAGCAAGCAGACGCTCGTATAAAGCATTTGATCAGAAAGCGTAAATTTAAGTAAATACTCGATCCTGAAGTGAGGATTTAATATATCGCTTATTTAGTCAACGCGAATAATAATTAAGCATGCGAGAAGCGCATATTAATTAAAAGATTAAAATCAACAAAGGCGTTTTAAAATAAATGTAGACGCGTGGTTGTAAAGGTATTCTCGAATAGCATCGATAAAGGTTCGTTAGTAAATATGTGTAGAAGAAATCGCGCATTCTAGAACTAAGTGAAGGTGAAATTAATGGTGTTGGCGTGTTGCGTTGGGGTTATATTCCGTAGGGAGGACTACTTGACAAGCCAGAGCTTCCGGACCGCCGAGGAGAGGGACAACTACTGGGCGGAACTAAAGACTGCTGCGGAGACGGGATGGGACTTCTCTAGTCGCTGGTTCATCCTCGACGGCACGAACAAAGGTACACGCGCCGCCACCGCCACGATGTATATTTAATAGTGCTATATTTGCTACGTCGATCAATTATTACGATTGTACAAACACCACACTGCGAAAATGGCTCCTTTTTTTCTCAAGGATTAAGCCTAATCGCTCGTTTCCTAAGTGAAAGTTATCCCCCTCCAACCGCACCGCCTCCTATCTTGACTACGTCATTCGACTCGTCGCGCTTGCTCTCACACCCGTTGGCTGCTATTGCCGTTGCTTCTCCACCACCTACCATCTCCACCTCCACCTTCTCATTCCTTTGATTCTCCGATTATGTTGGCGCGAGAAATTTTCCCGCGTATTAACAAGATTACGTCTATGCAGCCATATGAAAAAGTGTTAAGTTTTTTCAGATGGAAATTGGGCCAAATTTGGTCATTGAAAATATCCAATTTCTTAATCGCTAAGCGTTACGAACCAATGATTTTATTTTTGTTTTAATGTTCACAGCCTGGCATTGTTACGAATGCCATGACTTTACTTTACTTTTAAACATCCTTTGTATCCGATACGAACTTGGTTTGTAAAATTAATTGATAAATGCCCCTATATTCAAAGAAACAAGCATCATTGCATGGTTTTGCGCGTCCGTTCGACTTTAATTATTAAATTGCAATTGTTAGACATTCGTCGCACCTCTCGCAATATATATTTCACTGCCCTTGCGAATATCGAATTAATGATAACGAGCGCGTATGTTCTCTATGATTAATAGGCGCAATATAGATCTGCCATTGGCATGTCTTAAAAGCAACTTTTAGTTCAAGTGTCTTTGACGACGATGGGATGAGACTGCACGGACGAAGGAAGACTATTTTTCTGTTTCGCGATGCTTCCGAGCTAATTAAAGAGAATTCGAGAGGTCGTTGGTCTCTCCATTTGCAATTATCCATAAGAGTAGGCGAGTAAAATCCGAGGGCGCATAATGGCGCGCCTCGAGGCGGTACGATGGCCGAGGCGAGGCAGCGTTAGGTCCAGGAGAAACGGGAAACGGGAAATGGGAAACGGCCTGAGGAAGTTAAGCAAAGTAAAAAGGTGAAAATTCGCGAATGCCCACAGGTAACCTGACCAACCTCAAAACGCGCTCGATAATCCCGGTGGACTTGAACGCGCTCATCTACCGGAACGCGGTGCTGCTGGGGCAATATAATCAGCGCTTTGGTAACATCAGCAATGCCGAGCTCTACGAGCGCCGGGCACGCGAGTGGCAGAAAGCCGTAACGGCGGTGCTGTGGCACGACGAGGTCGGCGCCTGGCTCGACTACGATATCCTCAACGACCTGAAGCGCGACTACTTCTACCCAACCAACATCCTGCCCCTGTGGACTGGTTGTTACGAGCCGACGAGACGCGAAGAGCACGTCTCCAAGGCTCTCAAGTACCTGGAGAAGAGCCAAATTATGATGAACCTCGGTGGTATACCGGCTACCCTCGAGCACTCTGGCGAGCAGTGGGACTATCCCAACGCCTGGCCCCCCCTTCAATACTTCGTCATTATGTCATTGGACAACACCAATGATCCCTGGGCACAGAGGCTGGCCTACGAAATGAGCCAACGATGGGTGCGCAGCAACTACAAGGCCTTCAATGAGACGAACAGCATGTTTGAGAAGGTTCGCGAAACAGGCTTTTAACGATTCATGTCGCATACTGATTATTTATTTCTTCCGGGTTCATGCTAATGTGCACTCCTTGCGACGAATGGTAAAGTGCGCTCCAATTCTAAGTCGATGACTGATGAGTAAAATCATCTGCCTTACCTTCTCGATCTTCGGTAATCTAGTGACATTTTTTTGTTTTGTTTTTGTTTATGTTTTTAACTGACTAATCAGCACTATTTTAATCGTAGCAAACAATTTTTATTATTCTAATTTAAAGGACTTTATAAAATGATCATCCGTCCCTTCGTCGTTTAAAACTTAATATTGCATTTCTCTCATCAATCCACTATAATTATTGCTACTCGTAAACAATATTTTAGCTTTATTCTAAATAATGCGTCCATATACGTTAATATTATTTACATAAATCTCTAAGCCACGCAATTGGAAACAAATAAAAAAAAATATCACCAGCATTGCCTAAATCAAGATTTTTGAAATTTCTAGTAAAAGCACATTGCCGCTTTTGTATATCAATCATTCTAATACATATACATTAAATATTATTACACATGACATTATATACTGTATATATATATATATATATATATATATATATATATATATATACACTAGTTTCCCAGCTGATATAAGACAAGAATTCAGTATTAAAATCACGAATTCTTGATTTTTCTAATTCTAACGAATTACGAACATGAGAATTTTTTATATTTGTTTGATTAAACATGCCTACAATATCCCAAACAGTTTTTCAACTTTTAAGTAATTTGACAAATTTTCTTCCCACGAGCCTTATAAAATAAACACAAAGCGCAAATTTGCTTTTAGAATAATCACGTCAATGACATAAACACATTCGATTGTCATACGTACTGGAAATGACGAAAAAGGGAAGTTGAGATCTATTTGTCAACTTGTTTACAGTATGACGCGACGGTCTCTGGTGGTTACGGCGGTGGTGGCGAGTACGAGGTGCAACTGGGCTTTGGCTGGTCCAATGGCCTTATCCTGGACTTGCTGGACAAGTATGGTGACCGCTTAACAGCCGACAATCACTTTGTGCCGTCGGACACGTCAACCCCCAATACCGCGGCGCAAGTGACTGGCGTCTCGACATCTGGTCAAGTTATAACCGGCATCCTCGCCCTTATCATATCATTAGCAGCAGGATTCATAGGGTGAGGTGAGTACGTCGAACACACGTTTATGCGCGCGTGCACGCGTGCGTGCTGCGTGTGTTTTATTTCTTTCGAAAAATGACAAAGCGCTTTTATTTTTATTATAGATCGATCATCGGTCATTTATTGTATTTGTCTAATGATAATGTTTTATAACATTTTATTAATGTAGGAGTAGAGTCGATTAATGTCTATGCATAAGTAGGTTATTATTTACAATCGATAAAGATAATTGTGGTATTTAAGGAGAAGAAGTTGTAAATTAAAATATTCTTTTTTTCAAGACAGTAAGACTTCATAAAGTTTGCTTAATAAATTATAATGTTATGAAAATTTATAGCAACAATTTTCTTTCGCGAGTTTATTCAAAATAATTAAATGTTAAAGCTATAAATATTACTAAATTATTAGACAATAAGATTTAATTGCAATGTAACCTTATAATAGCTTACGAAATCAAAATAACATGAAGATTTATGTACGAAATATCGACCGTCTTTCTTCTTTATTTAAATGAGAAAATTTTCATTATATTTATGACTACTTTGTTTTAACATTCATAATTAATTCTACTAGAAAATATTTATCGAATCTATTTTTATATTTCTGTTGCAGATAATTGTTGTTTGGACTAAATTGAAGAAATTCAAAGTATTTTTAGTGTCGCGAACACTTTTAATGGACCAATGAGTTTTCAAGTATTTTTGGTTGAAACGAAATATGAAATCACACGAAATGCCTTAATTAACGTCGCTGGTCGACGTTTACTATATTTCAATATATTTCCTTAACGTTTATTATAAAATGAGAAAGAAAAAAAGAGAAAAGAAAAGAAACGGAGCGTACGACAAATCATTTTTAAGCGATACGTGTGACAATCACGAACTAAATATTACGAATTAATTACGCTTTTGTAATGTTTCTAAACTAGAAAAGAATAATGAAGGAAACTGATCGTGCGAAGCAAGATGGCAACTCAATTGTAACGTAGTATTATTAGAGTAATCATAAAATAGAAAAAGAAGGAAATTCTATGGTAAGGGAGTTTACTTATTATGCGAATGCTCCGAGCGACGCAGGCACGGAAAAGAAACGAGATGAATTGATCGATAAGCAATAATACAAAGTTACCAATAATCAAGTACATAGTTTTTAAACATACACTCATACGTTCGCGTACACGCGCGCGCACACATTCAAATACATGTACACACTTATGCACGTATTTATTTATCGTGTAAAAAGAAAGATAAAAAAATCATCATTGTGCGTTATATATATATATAGTATGTACAGATCACATGTGTAGATTTATCTAGTCAGATGGATGAGCGATACGAATCGTTGCTGTTTATTATAGTTTTTTCGTTTTTTTTTTTTTTTTTTTTGTTATCTTAATTTAATTTAGCCCCCCTCGTCGGTGAATTGCCAAATCCCTAGTGTAAGTGTAACGCATCGCTGAGATCGAGCAAAGATTGGTCGAAGCGCTCTCCGAGGCGAGAGAATAGGAGAACTCGAGGCGGTAAGACTAAGTTGCGAATGAGCGATTTTTTTTTTGTTTTTGTTTTTTTTAAAATCAAATCCATGCTTCAGTGGGAGTTTGGAGAGGGAGGAAAAGTGAGAAACTGCATCGTCACATTATATATGCTTCTATTTTGTATTATTTCCCATGTTATCTGGTTTTTTGAAAACTATTTGTATAGCTCGGAACTTTTGATTAACCGGTAGGAGTAAATTGTTACTCACCGCAGAAGACAATTATATTACATAGAAGGATATCCAATAGAAACTTAAATTTATATACATACATTTTTGCAATTTTAGTCTGTAAGTTGTGTCGAAAGGTGTAGAAATTGACACAAGGCCAGCAATATCTTTACAGCTTGTGGATCTATTTACCGATAACATGGATTTTCATTCGTATTATTATTATCGTCGTTATTTTTTCTTCTTCTTTTTTTTTACGTAACAATTAAAGAATAATGTTTAGGGACCAGGAGATGATTGTGAGCTCGAATAGATGCTCTTAGTAAATGCATTGTGATATTCCAAAGGGCTTGCATACACTGGTAAAAAAATAAACATCAATGATAAGTATTAAGTTTCCGTGCCGAGTTGATAAGAATGCGGACGCCGATATAGTATAAAAAAAGTCAATGATTGAACCTTAAACAGCAAGGTGTAAATAATTAAACAAATATTTGATACGACAGTGTTGGTCTCTGTAATTCTCTAAGGAAAATAATAAAAGAAATCATTGACAATACTAGCTATATATTAATAAACGATAAGTAAATGCGATGTATAGATACGATATAACGTTATATAAATTAAACCAGTGATTCTAGTTTATTTATAATGTACCGTTGTTGCGCACACCTTATATTTTTATAACATGCAGGTAAAATATGACTATATATCTCGTTGTTAAATTAACGACGATCAGAATAGAATAATAATTTATTTCTGTGTCCAACGATCAACAAAGTGTATTAAATTACAATATAGAATATAAAGGATGAAAAAATATGATTTACATATTCATTACTATGAGTACAGAATATACGTTGTGATATGCGTCCGAAGGCGCTGCGAAGTTGAGGGTAACATCGCGTTGCCGCGATATTTCTACAAAGATGTATTCCAGATTTTCTTACTTCCGGTTTCCCATCTTTACATCCCATTCTCCCACTATAACCCCACCCTCTCCTTCCCACTACAAAGAGTCATAGCAGCTTCTTTCAAAGTGCATGCAAGCGTGGAGAGACAGTGATACCTCAGCACTATCCAAGGCTCGGGATGCACGTACACACGGGAGCACATATAACAACACAAGTGTTCTCATAGCGGTGACTGTCATCTTTGGTCAAGGCGCTACTCCGATGTAATTTAGCTTAACAATTAAGACAAGCATGCCAGAAAGTATTTTATTTTACCACAGATAGGTACCGTCTCGACTCAAAATGTGTCTGTGTGCCTTTAACCATTACGAACGTTTACTACTTTTTTTTTTAACTTTTTTCTTTACTGTTGTTTAGCGATAGTGAAAACATTAATATTATTATTAATAATAATAAAGTTAACTCCCGTAAAAAATCATTCCCATATGTTATTTTCCTGTTTTAGATGGGTACTTAAAAGGCGATGTTAAATAAGGTGATGATGTGTCAACGTTTCGGCAAACATTTTCACATTCTCCAATTATATTCTCTTATTTATACAACCTTCGTTTAATTTAATTGATATATAAGTTCGCATCGAAGTATATTGATTCTCGTCTACTACAAGTGTACATTTCCTATGAAACTGCAAACTATTAGACCGAGTAAATGGAAAGACAGACTTTTTAAACAAAACTTGAATTAAATTTTGCAAAGATGACGTGTAATTTCGTGAATTCGTATGTTTAACAAAACTACAGGTATTCTTTTATTTTTCCTTCAAGAAAGAATATAAAAGTATTTACAGAAATTATATTTATCTTAAGATTAACGCGACACCAATTTTAACATCTTCTTTTATTTATCTCTCTACATTACATTTCTTTTGAATAATTCTCTCTCTCTCTCTCTCTCTCTCTCTCTCTCAACTCGAATCAATTATCTTACGTCTTTTTAACCTCTTAACAAACAAATTTACATTTATTGGAAAACCTACGCTCGTAAAGTTTTAATCTACGTATAAGATGTTCCATTTAGATAAAAATCCATTACAACATAAAAGAAATTTATGTTAACTTATCTTAAGAAAATAGCATCTTGCTTGAAAAAATATTTACTTTACTTTCAAGGATTTTTCATGTTTTGAATTAATGTCAAAGCACTTAAAACTATGACTACATAATACGAAATGAGTATCTTTTATAATCCAATGAAAGAAATTTGTTTAAAAACTCGGTACTTTTTTAAAATACTTTTATTATCTATATTTTTCGATGCGCTTCCCCTCCTTTTTCGTTATGGCCGATCTACAAATTTTTTCAAATTAGTATCATCGAGACTGCAGTATTACTATGTAGAAAGAATATTATATCCTTCGATAATGATACATCCATTAAGTGGATGACAAAGGAAACAGTACATCAATTGCTAATGATTAAATAAAAGTATCTTAAGTAATTTAAAAGGGAAATTGATTAAGACGGACGTAAGTATTCCAATTGTCACAGTTAACTATTTTACCGACTGAAAATGAGTCGTCATTTCGACAACAAATTTCTTAAATTAATGCATAATTGTAAGTAAATTTTAATCAATTAATTCATAATCGCCTAATCGGCGCTTTCAAATCTTTAATCGACGTATACCTTTTAACGCGTTTTTAAAGTCCAGCTTGAGCTTTGTAAGGCATCGTGATGCATTGTCGAGGTTAAGTTTCGCGTAAGACGATGTGAGCTTTCTAGAAATGACGACCGTGTCATCCGTGAGTGAAAGCCGGCAATCGCGTAGATTTCATGGCTGGACTTTAGCATCGAAAGCCCAACTAATTAAAAAGGACGCGTGCTTACTCAAAATTGTATTGAAAATTAAGGGGAACGTAGAATTGAGGAGGTATCACGTGAGAAGCAGCGGAAGTTTCGAAGGTCATTCTCGTGTCCGTCCACTTCAGTTACTTGGGATTGCAAGTCGAATAGTTGTGTTTTCGCACACCTCGGCTGTATGCGCATTCACTTCCTAACCATTCGTCCACGAGTCTTACACTACGATCGCTCGTTTCGTTTGCCCTCCCGTAAAGACAAGGAAGACATTTTCCATAGGAAGCAATGATACTATGCTGTAATGCAATACTGGCAAATTTAATCGAAAATCCGAGGCTAAGCGATAATCATGAACTTTTTCTCTGTCAGATTTTGCACTGACATATGGCTTCGCTTCAATTCATACGTTACTTAACAAAACATTAATTTCAATATTTATCGGTAAATACGAAGCCTAAATCGATTTTCTTAATAAGTTCTTGATGATCCATAATTGGTACTTATGATAGCTGCCGAGTCATTTATGATTTAATTTAATCTAAAAGCTAATAAGCTTCAACTAGGGGGCTAACAATGTAATTTAAAGATTACTTCGTAATAAGTGGAATTTTAGAAGCCATTGTTTATTCACTCTGATACCTTACTCTACAAAAAATTACGAATAATTTTGTTCTACATAAGATTAAATTGAAGGTTTTATTCTAAGCTTGCCTGAACATAAATCCTATGTTCTTGATAATAAAACGGTAATAAAAACTGGTTTTTTATGCATCTCCTTACTTAGTATATTAAGAATGGTATTGTTGTAAAAATAAGAAAAAAATATGTTAATTTATTTATTAAGTACGGCATCGTTTACACAAATGAAATCTAGGTAATTGAGAACTTTATTTAATAAAAGCAAGAGAAAAGATATTAATTTCTAGAGAATCGTGATTTTATTTTTTAACTTATAATTTTAACGATTGATGTTTTCTCAAATTTCATTTACTAAATTTATTCCACCTCAGATTTTGCTTTTAATGATTAATCTTGCTTAAAAGCAAATAATAATAAATATTATACTAAATATTAGAAATAGTAATTAGCAAGTAAAAGTGTTCTTGTATATAATAGGTAAACGACTTTTGCAAATAATGCCATTCAATAGTTAACTGTAATGTAAAAAAGCAATGTAAAAAAATTACTTTAAAAGTAAAATACTGTTACAAATTAAGTGCCATACGAAAACTTATGATAATATAAGCTATGACTTTTTCGTGCAAAGAATCATACAATCATCAATGACTCTTTATAAGTTAATCTTGAATATGCCTAAGACAATTCGTTGCAATTATTCCTTTAAAATTATTATTAGAATAAACTGAGGAAGTATAAACGTATTAATGTCGACTACCTCAACTTTAACCATATGCGTGATGTGAAAACCAATAAAACATAAATCCATCTACTCTTATTTAAATAAAAGCATGAGCTAGTAATCTTGCAATTTAACAGAGATATTTTATTGTTTCTTCTCCTATCGTTAAGAGTGGTGTAATATTCAAAACAAAATATGTGTAATTAATAATTAATAATGCAACATAAATTATATTAAAACTACGGCATAATAATTACAATTCTAAATATCTAATCATTTTATTAAAATAAAAGAATATTATTTAATTTTTAATACAATTTAATTAAATCGAATTGCTGCACCACTAAGT